GGAGAAAGAGAGAGGGGAGGAGCAGCATAGCACAGAAGTTTAGTGTTGCCAATGTGAAAGCGATGAAACACAGAGATCCTTTGGGTCACTGATTCCATCTACTGTAACAGCTTCCCTTCTCTTTTCATCCTATGGAAGAATGCCTCATGTGCATCAAGACTCCTGTGAACGTAAATGAACTCTGTCTGGAAAGAAGATTGTTATTTTTCTCTGTGAACAGACCATAATAATATATATATGTAATAGGGAGGTTTCTCAAGCTTACGATAATGACAACTAGTACGGTTTAGGCCTACATCATCATTTTTAGCCAATCCATCCTGATCCATCTCATAACGTATGCTATCCATGACTTTAAATGAATCAACGATCATATCAGCTCGTATACGTATTGTACTATTGTCAAGAATGTTTCAGGTACGAATGACGATAATGAAGATGATTTATTCGTATTCGTTATCGTTTTCTTAAGGTTGCAACATCTCAATAATATCACTGCAGTGCCGTGTAAATTACACACACAGCGGCGGTCGTTAAAAAACCTGTATGAGAAAACGGAGTAGACCTTGTATATATTTGTTAAAGTGTTGTTTTCAATTTAAATGGAAAATCTTTAAAAATTGTAGTCTTAGCTAGAATCAATATACTGAAGACATTATTAAACACGTAGGTTTCATCGTGTATAATTTTCAATGTCATGTCCCCCCTAAATAAACAGGCTGATGTATCGATGTCATGGACGATTGGAGGCGCACGATCGGTTGGTGGGCAATTCGGTTCAGCGATTACTGCCGCAGGGGACATCAATAATGACGGATTCCAAGGTAAGCATTACTCAGAATCATCATGAAATGCCTTTCTAAATCAATTTAAAATGAAATTTGAAATAAATTTTACATTTAATGAATTGTCGCTAAACAAAACGTGACGATTGTCGATTATTTCATGTATTTCGTCATTAAAGCGGAATTGAGCATAGCCTAATATGAGACTCAAGTCATGACAATATTCCCACATAAAACGGAATATTTATAGAGGTGTAGGCCGGCCTGTATCATAATGATTGAAGAGTATAATTATACATTTGCTTGGTGGTTGTAATACAAGTCTCATATTTTGTCGATTTTGATAGCAAGTTATAAACAATCACTGTTTCGAAATTTAATGCACATCAAGTAATTTTTTTTGTAAGGAATAATTGCAGACGAATCAATGAAACAATATTGTTAAAGCCAGGATCCAGAGGAAATAAAATGTTTGATATGTTGTAAAACTGACGACACAAAATGGGTGTTTGACAAAAAACTAGGGAACTGTTAATAAGTTACAGATTTTAATTTTTTTTCTTTAAAATGAGGGGAAATGGTGGTTACGCCCAGTTTTACAATGTATCCGTGTCTTCCCCCCGGAGTCTGGCTTTAAAATTGCGAGATGTAAACATAAAGGAAACAAGGGAATTTGTGGAACTTTAATTTTATTATTATAGAATGGTTGTTATTAATATATTATTATAATTTAATTCGTACAGACGTTGCCATTGGTGCTCCATATGAAAGTATATCCGGTGCTGTTTACATTTACCACGGCTCTTCAAAGGGAATACGTACGCAATATGTACAGGTGAGATTTACAAACATAAGTAGGCTATACAATAATGTTTGTGAATGATTAAAAATGTGTAAATTTGCAGAATACAATTTAATATTTGATTGCATATATTTTATAAACTATAGCTTTATAATGAACATTAGAAAGATTAATTATTTTCTAAATTTGACCAAAGACAGTTTCATTCAACAAACTATAATTTCAATTATTTCTTTTCAAGCGGATATCAGGACATTCAATTAATGTGAACCTTAAAGGGTTTGGGAGCTCGCTCTCCGGTGGAATGGACGTGGATGACAATGGGTACCCGGATTTAGCTGTTGGGGCTTTCCATAGCGATTCAATCGTACTAATCAGGTACATTACATCGTAGCAAATTGCTTTATCAAAAATATGATGTAGTTCTATCGTTGAAAACAATACTCCTTTCTTATCTTTCTGCCTTTGGAAGAATGGCTCATATACGGTGATGACCTTTATTAAGAAATGAAGATTATACAATTTGTTCCTATATTTGTTAGTATTTGTTTATTATGTTCACAAAATTGATTTAACGTAAGTAGCATATATATACTGTCT